TAAATAGAAAAAGGTTATAAGTAACGTGAAAATAGGAAAATACATTTACTTTACAAATATAAATTAAAAAGTGATAGCATTCCTATAATCTGCCTTCCCCTAGAGAACATACTAATGGTTTGGTATTTATATTCCTCTAAATAGTTTTGCTAGGCATATACTAGCCTGTAAATTATTAGTTATAACAGTGCGATCATACTATATTTTGGGTTTTGAATCTTAATATATTTTGGATTTCCTTCATGTGTAGATCTCTCAATATTTATTGGAAGATTTATTCTTCATTCCTTAACACTTTGGTAGCGAAGTCTTAAGAATGTTTGTATTGAGCCACAGATCTACAGAAGTAGAGAATGGTGAAGAACTTAAGGTCAAGGTGCTTGAATATTATTAGTGTAATTATCTGTCCATGAAAAATAACAAACACTTCCTGGGGTGGGGAAGGGGTATTCCAGAAAAGTTGGGAGAGGGAGTGCGGTAGGCAAAGATAGCTGCTGTTGTTTACTAGAAGTTACAACCCTGGGGCACCTGGGTGGCTCAGTTGTTAAGCGTCTGCCTTCAGCTCAGGTCATGGTCCCAGGGTCCTAGGATCGAGCCCCACATCGGGCTCCCTGCTCAGTGGGAAGCCTGCTTCTCCCTCTCCCACTCCCCCTGTTTGTGTTCCCTCTCTCTCGCTGTCTCTCTGTCAAATAAATAAATAAAATCTTAAAAAAAAAAAAAAAAGAAGTTACAACCCTGAGCAAGAGTGAAATGAAAGGACCTGACCCCTTTTTCTCCCCCCCACCCCCAGCTTAGACTGTAGACTCAAGACAGCGCAGCTAGAAACACCGATCCAGCATTAGTGTCCTAAGCAGCCATTGAGTTTTAAGAGACTCAGAAAATACTAGAACTGGTGGAGCCTCTGGGGGCATCTAGTTTGAGGGGAGGGAGACTGAGGGGCCGACCTGGAAGCATGGGGCGTGGTGCCGGGGGGGAGGTATTGCGGGAGGGGTTGGGGAAGAGACCAACCCAGAGCTGCCACAGAGCAGGTGAACTTCATCTGGTTCTACACTGAGATTCTTATTTGAGTTAAAAAGAATGGATTGTGTTCCCTCCTCAGAAGTTCTAACCATTGACCTCGCCCGAACACTAGCACTTTTAGAAATGAAGAAAGCGAATACCTTAGAGAAGTGATCTACCCCAATGTCAGGGAGTGAGTGAGTGACAGAGAACAGACATAACAGACATTGAAGTCTCCTCACCGCAAGCCCAGGGCCTCTGGGTACTTGGACCGGAGGAGTTACATCACTCACAAAGGCCGTCTGGGTGGGGGGAGGGGACAGACAGCTGGGAAGATTGGAGTAGTCAATCTAAAGAGGGATTGGGTGCAGAAAATGTTAAAGAACCAGTGCTCTCTCATCACATTGCTTTAAATATAATGAAAGGGCGAAGAAAGTAATTGGAGGCCTAGAGAAACTGAAACGTGTTATAAAACACTGCAATGCCTGTTAACTCTAGGAAGAACTGGTATCTGCCTCGGGGCCCTTCCCTGGGGGTGCATCAGACTCAGCCTAGGGTAACTAGAATCTGCAAATGTGCAGGAACCCACCGGGGTGGGTATATTGCCCAATCTGAGGTACAATAGAAATGTTTAAAATGAACAGGAAAAAGAAACCATTTTACATAGACCTTCAGTGGTAACAAATTTCGTAACGAGCATGATGAATTATTATGATTATTCCTCTGGATCTCATTTTTTTTTTTTATCCAGACAAGATGTAGGATCCCACAGGTTGTTGTCAACTCTATTGTCTACTTGTGTGACTTTGTGATTCTTTTTTTTATTTTAAAAGTCCTTTTAATTAGAAATTACATCATACATACAAGTGTATTTTGAGATTCTTTTAGTTACCTATCTATATATGGTCAGAACGGCCAAACTGGTGTCCTAGACTGTGGGGTCACTGAAGACTGAAGCCTGCACCCCGCTTAATATTATGCTAACTGCCCCTCAGATGTATTCAGTGAGGTGCCACTTGATGAACATTAGAGCCCTTGATCTCTCTTTTCTGTTAAGAAACTTCAAGACATGGGGCGCCTGGGTGGCTCAGTCGGTTAAGCGACTGCCTTCGGCTCAGGTCATGATCTCAGGGTCCTGGGATCAAGCCCCGCATCGGGCTCCCTGCTCGGCGGGAAGCCTCCTTCTCCCTCTCCCACTCCCCCTGCTTCTGTTCCCTCTCTCGCTGTGTCTGTGTCACATAAACAAATAAAATCTTTAAAAAAAAAAGAAACTTCAAGACATCCAATCCTTTAAATAGACTCTTCCTAGATTTCTGGTATTTAGATACAAATTCTTCCCAATGTCTGAGACCAAGAGCAACTCTTCCTCGTAAAACTAAAAAGCAGGTCTGTTTTACAAACGAAAAAACAGAGGCAAGGAAAAGACCTCAAGGTCACTGTATACAAATCACAGGAGAAGAAACAGCACCAAGGTTTTCCTTCTATTTTGTATTTTTATCTCTTTCTTCCAGATCCAACAGAGCTGGCAGGCATTTGACAAACAAAGCGCTGCCTCTTTCTTTCTTTGCCCTTGGCATTTTTCTGATTTTCTATCATAGTCTCTTCTATTAGGACGTTGCAGTTCAGTATGGTTTTAGGTTAGAAACAGACTTACTTGTACAAGTATGGTATATCCGTGAGGGCCTGAGAAGAATGTCCAAAACCCATTGGTTCATTTAACTCATGTTTGTTGAGCTTGTCTGCTATGCGCCAGGGATGATTCTAGATGCTCAGAATATAGTAGCGAATCCCGAAAGTCTCCGCCTTCTGGGGGGAGGAGAAAGCCAGCAAACGTGAACAAACAGCCACATCATGTCAAGCAAAGCTAAGAGCTATGAAGACAAATAGCACAAACCAGAGGGAGAGGTGATTTGGGGCATTAGGAGGGCTGGAGAAGGCCCCTCTGAGGAGGTTACAGTACAGCAGAGACCAGGATGGGGTGAGGAAACCAAGTCCTGTGAATTTCTGGGCTTCCTTTCTCAGCCTCCCCTCAAGTGTGATCTGCAAGCAATGAATATTCCACTTGGCTGAAACAAAAGGGTGCTGGCTGGGGGCCTTGCTCCCCATCCTGCCTAAGTTCACCCTTGACAATAACAATGCCTTGCAGACCAGGCGAAAAGTCTGTTGCATTGAGAGTGAACATTAGTAGAAAGCTTTTTAACTCTCTCCAAAGTGCTTCATCGCTAAAAACACAGACAATAGGCAATAAAGCTGACAGTACCTGTTGAAATTGTAACAAACAGTATTTACAAGTAACTGCCTTAGAGGAAGCACACTTACAATGGTTGACATTTAATACTGATAGGTGTTGCCAGGGTTTGTAGTTTGGGAGGGTTCTGTGGCCTTAGCTAATGTGTAGCTCTCCTTTAAAAGCCGTTTCTAAAAGGATCCACCTGGCTCAAAGCATTGGTCCTCTGATACCGTCTTTATCATAATGATACCATATAGCTTAGGATTTGATTTAAGTCCCTAACTGCGCTTTCGTCCTCTAGATACTGTTCAGCGGATGACTTCCCTGAGGAAGCCCACACAGAATGAAATAGGAAAAAGGAAATCTGACCTAGGCCTTCATGGTTAATTTCACAGGTCCACAGAGGAAAGCGGTAACCTTGAAAGCTCCCTGCCCACCCTCCCTCAAGTCCCCACACAATCCGAAGGCCAGAGGGGCTCTACGGTTGCAACTGTTTAGGAACAGTCTTCAAAACTGGTATCCGTATTGGCCAACAGAGAGTCTATTTGAATTACAAATCCTGTTGTTTGAATCAGTGTTTCCAAATTAGTCTAGCAGCAGAGCCACGAATTTTTATCTCCGCCACTTTAAAACAATCGCTTAAAAAAGGCGCTTCTCCTCAGCTGCTTCTGTTTTTAAGGCAGAGATAACAGAAACTGGCCACAGAGTTATTTACTTGACTGCTCCATTTATGGCAACTTGTTTGTGTATTTTTAAATCAGTTACAATGAGCTCTTGTTCAGTTGTATACTGTTGAAACACATATATTACCAAGCCCTCCCAAGGAATCCTGATAGTTCAAGGGTTTTTTTTTTTATCTTAAAGAAAAGGTAGGATACCTAAGAAACTGGTGACCATTTCAAGTTGCTTTTATCTAATAGCACTTTATAAACTGACAAAACCCTTAAATATTTAAATATTGCATCTTTTCCTCTCCCCTCCCTTGGCATTTTGTCACCTTGTGATGAGGCTATTGTAGAAATTAAAATCTGTAGTTCAGGAGAGATCGACACCTCAAGTGCTGATTATACTAGTCTATCATTTCTTTTTTGGCTTGCTTTCAGGTCCTGTTTTTGCTTCTCGTGGTCCTTTCTGTAGACAACTGATGCCAAACTTCACTTTCTCTCAGTGTACCAGAAATCAGCTCAAAAACAAGATTAGCCTTAAGTATGAGGCACGTTCTTGTGTCTGAATAATGATATTCACTTAACCTGTTTATAAAAACTCTTATTCATGTACTTGATTAAGTGTATCCCATGACCTGGCACCTTTTCTTTTGCTGTTATTTACTGATAAAAATAAATCTCCTGCGCTAAGCAGTAGGAATCACTGCGAAATGCAAGAAAAGTCCTAAGAGGAGAATTCATATGTTAATGAGCTCTTCCAAGTGAGAACTTGGTTAAACGTGCCATTTGCTGACATCGTGTTTATGGGGCTGAGTTGAGATGATTTCTTTAAGAGGTGGCCTTGCATAATTCTCCTAGCGTTTTGTGGCCCGCGCGTGCACCTGCGGGAGGGGGAAGTTTACATAAGCGTCCTGGGGTATTTGCATCTCAGCGGCTCCTCTCACTAGGGCTCCTGGGAATGGAGCGGGCGGACGGAGGTAAGGTGCTCCAGCCGCGAGGCTCGCCAAGTGGGTGGGTAACTTTTCGAGGAATAATGTGCGCGCAGGACCTCGTGGAGACCTGCCAGGGGCACGGTCAGCAGTGACAGTTCCTGGAAAGCGGGCGGCCGCGAGATCAGGCTGGGCAGGCGCCTCCTGCGGACGGGAACCGGGAGCCCAGCAGGGCTGGGACTGCGAGCCGGGCGGCCGGCCCGCCGCGCTCCTAGGAGGGTGGGACCGGCAGGAAGCGAAATGGTTACTTTTTTAAATGCGGGCTCTGGTTACTTTTGAATATCGCCCGCCCCGGGCGCAGAGCGGACACGGGGATTTTTCTCTCTCCGGTGGATGGTTCTGGAGAAACGCAGCGCTGGGGCGTGGGGGAATGCGGTGGCCTGGACGAGGCGACTCAAACACGGGGGAGCAGAGTCGGCGGCGCCGGCGGGCACAGAGGGTCTCCGGGGAGCTGAAGGACCTTTTGCCGCCTCCCCACTCACGGCTGGTTAGGGAGCTGCAGCGGGTGAGGATCGCCGTGTTGCACCGAAAGGGGGCTCGAGGGGGACAGCGGGTGTGCGTCACGGCCGGGCGAAGGCTGCCGGCAGCGACCCCCTACCCGTCGGGCGGGGCGGGTGCTGAGCCCCGACAGGGGGCGCGGCCCGCCATGGTTTACCGGGGGCCCTGCGCTCGCCGCCCCCGCGCCTGCGTCCCCGCCCTGCTAGGGTCTCCTCCGGAAACGGGTGGGTGAGGGTGACCTGGAGGGCCCCCAGTCCTGTTTTCCTTAGGGAACCACCCCGCGCCAGGCCGCCAGCTTCGCTCGGACGCGGAGCGGTGGGCGCCGAGGGGCTCGGCGGATTCGCGGGCCGCGGCGGGCGGCGGGAGGGGCTGCAGGCCGCGCTCGGCCCCGCAGCCGCAGGTGGGGAGCCGCTGTCCGCTCCCGGGGCTTGATGGCAGTCGGGCGACGGGGACTGAACGCCGAGGGCTGCGGGGGTTCGCGCGTCCCCGTGCGCCCGCGGGGAGGGGGCTTCTCGTCGGAAGTTGGGGGAGAGACGGGGGGACCGGCGGCCATTCAGTACCGCCGTCAAGCCGCGGGGCGAGTGCTCTTCCGCGGAGGGGGCGCTGCCCAGAGGCGGCGCGAGGCTTTCCCCTGGAGGTGGGTAAGGGGGTTCGCAGGCGACTGTACTGTCCCCTGGGAAACGGGGGGCTGTTCTCTGCGGGCCTCGCGTCGGCGCCTAGGAGGGACTCGCTCCCAGCCGCTGGGTCTGGGGCTCGGCCTCTGGGTGCGGAAGGGGTTTGGGGGGGAGGCCGGGAAGGGGGCGCGGGGCCGGGTCCCACCCGCGGCCCGGGGCGCCCCCTCGCGGCCTGAGCAGCCACAGCCGCGCGGAGGGTAGGGCTTTGGGGGGCGCCGACGGCTGCTCCAAGGTGTCTCTCCCCTCGGTGCGGGCATGGGTTAACCCAGCGGAACCCCGACAGCCGTCCCTCGCAGCCCGATCTAGAATTAGCCTGCCGCATTTTCCCGAAGAAGGGTGACATCCTTTCCCTCCGGGTCCCCTCCCGATCCCTTCTTAAAAAGCTCGGGTTTTCACATTAATCTATGTCCGTATAAACCAGGCTATGTGTGGAATTTGTTTTTACAACTCGAGTCTTGTGACTTCTCAAACACTTTCTTGAAGTGTTTTCTCTGGAAACTTGTTTCAAATGAGTGCTGTAAGTTTCACAAAGAGGAGTGTTGTTCAGGAGCCAACAGGTGACGGGGTGAAACCTGAGTCTGTGTGTACATTGGAGTCAAGTCTGGCTGCCGTTTCCTTGGGCCGCCGTTGAAAATAGAAATTCAAAAATCAGTAGGAGACTGACTGGAACACGATTTGCGAAAATATCTGCGTCCCCCATTATGGAAAATAACTAGTTTATTAGCGCAGTGCGTGCGTCCTCCGCCGCACACCCCGGCGTGGGTTTTGGATTTTGTCTAGTATAGACCGGTTTACAGCCAAAAAAACCTGACCCCAGAAGCGCCGTTCTGGCACAGGACCATGCTTTGTCATCATGTTTCCTCCTTTTGTTAAGCAGTCTGTCTTACTGTCGTGGAATGTATTTGTGCATGAAATTAGAATGCTTTGAAACCCCGCAGAGTTGCACATTTCCTCTTGGAAAAATGGATAGCTACTTGGCAATTGGGTGGTACATGACAGGCCACTCAGCTGTTGGAAAATGTACAAATTGGTTGGAGGTTTACCTGGAAAATACAGAAAATGACAAGGGGCACATGGCCTAATGCCACTAATTGCTGGTATGAAGTACTCTTAGCACAGGAATGTTTCATTAAGCAACGTCTTTGGATACCGTCGTCATTTTTTTTTATTTTACAGTTATCTCTGCAGTTCCTTTCAATATAACTAAAACTGAATTGGGCTCTGAACTTTTGTCTGTAGCAGGCAGTAAGCGTTGAGTGCTCTTTGAGTGTGTGCGTGAAAACTTTAAAGAGACAACAGTTTAGGGTCTCTACTATGAAATTCAAACCTTGGTTATCATAGTTTTGATACCTATGGCAATTATAGGCCTCTGGCTTTTAAAGAAATCTCCATAAACAAAAAATACCAGTATCCATAGGGTTGTATATTTTGTGTGTTGTAAAGAATGGAAGGAAGTGTTTCAGGTTCTTGTATTGCCAAGTTAGTCTGTAGTTAAATTTTATTCACCTGCATATTTAGCCTGACTGAGTAGCTCTTGAATGGGTATGTGTGATCTGCATCTTCTGTGTGCTAAGGCCTTGTTAACAAGCAGTTTAACAAAGAAGTTGTTAAGCAGTTTGTGGCCCACAGGATGATACTTAGCAGCAGGGGACACCTAGGGAATGTTAGCCCAACTGACTTCACAAATCGGTATCTCTTCTGGGTTTTGGTGATCAAAGGATTTCTAACTTCCCTGGGCAGGTTCACACAAGAAATACCTTTTCATGGGGATGCTGCAATGCCATGGGTAATCTTCGCATGAACTACGGTGGAATTTGATTGGGAAAAGCATTTGTAATTAGGGGTATGACCTTGGACTTCATGTTAAATGGCAGGCACTGAAAATTATTCTGTTTTCCATTTGCATGATTTTGATTTGACTTGGTGACTTGGTCCAAGAAAATGATTAATAATAGGAACCAGACCAGAACTGATGTACAGTTAGAACCTCAGTATGTATCTGATTGAACTCCGTCTCCTCAACCCCCTGAAATCCTCATTCCTCTCTGACTTGCCTATGTAGTATTTCCATTTTAGTACATCGTCTTTCAGTCACCTAAGACTCAAGACTGTCTTTGACCCAGTTTCCCCCTTTCCTGTTGGTTCCTTTTACTTTATCTCCCCAAGCCACCATGTTTAGGCTCTCTTAGTAGTGGTGGCCTAAAAGGCCCCTCCCGGTTTCCTGTTCTCTTTCCTGACCGTTCCCTGTTGTGTTAATTTTCTTTAAGACTCTCGGTGGCACTCTGCTCACATGCCCTTCTCTTCCTGTCGCCTTTAGGGTTAAGCACAAAGTCTCCTGCCTGATTTGTCTAATTCTTTTTTTTTTCTTAAGATTTTATTTATTTATTTGAGAGAGAGAGAATGAGAGAGAGCAAGCACATGAGAGGGGGGAGGGTCAGAGGGAGAAGCAGACTCCCCGCCGAGCAGGGAGCCCGATGCGGGACTCGATCCCGGGACTCCAGGATCATGACCTGAGCCGAAGGCAGTGGCTTAACCGACTGAGCCACCCAGGCGCCCATAATTTGTCTAATTCTTGACAATGTCATTCGGTGCTACCATTGCTTCTATTGTTGCTTCTGTCTTCCAGTGAAACTCTTGACTGTCTCTGGACCTTCACATACTGTGCTTACTAAGCTTTTTAGGGAAAAATAGTAAACGCTCATTTATGTATATGTCAAGGTCAATCAAAATAGTAATCCTTAGCTGTCCTGGATGCAGCATATAGCACAACAGAAAATAAATGATTCTCAAATGACCAAAATAGCATAGCAAAATAATAAAGCTGCTTTTACTTTGCATAACACCTTCATATATTCTATGTTACCTTATTTAACCAGTGATTACTGTGCTCACAGAAGGACTGTGTAAGCCCTTGTTCGTAGCACAATGATTCTATATACTTTTAGACGAATTTTTTTCAAATTGTAGTTGCCTAATTTACAGAACATAGAAAGCAACAAATTAAAAAAAAAAGACTTGGAGGTTGCTGGTGGTGGGCAAAGAGGAAAGGCTACTTAGAGACTAAAGCAGCAGGAATTCAAAAATCTGTCGTGACAGCAGGGAGGGAAAAACCTATAAAAAGTTTGTCAACCATCTTAAAGCCATGAGGCTGGGGCCCTGTGATTCCAGACATCAGCTCTCCACTGAGAGAGCCCTAAACTTACTTTCTAGTTGAGGAATTACGTTCCCAGGTCACACCCAGCTGGATGGCTGGGTTAGATTCCTGAAGGCCGTGTTCTTTCTACTGTTCATTTTCTTCCAAGAATGAAAACAAATGACCAGCCAAAGGCTAAATCACATAAGGTATATACACACTTAACCGCCACTCAAGAAAGCAAGGAATTGTATAATGGAATTTGGAAATACTCTTGTCCTGGTGGATACATTTTTTTTTTTTTAAGTTCTAGCCTTTAATTGAATAAAACCAGTTGCCTCTTTTTGTTATTTCCTTCAATCATTCAGTCATGGCCTTTAAATACAGGGATGAATGAATGGATGGGGTAAATGAATCTGGAAAGTAAATTTCATGAGGAACCCCTCTTTACATCATGGTGTTGGATGAATGAGGCCATACTCTGATTTGGGGAACAAGGGCCAACTTACAGCCAGTCGTGTGTTGGTTTATCACAGTTGTTGCCCTGCCTAAGACACCTGGAAATACCCCGCCGTGGTCTCCGTGTGGGTGTGTGCCTGCACTCATGCGTATGAACTGGTATTGGAGATTTTACGTAGGTCTTGGTTAGAAGCTGATTCTAAGGGAGCTGGGAATGGAGGCTAATAGTTTGTCAAAATTGTTTGCCCTTCAAAAGGTTAGAGAACCTCCTGAACTCAAAAAGATGATGAAATTTACACATCAACCTTCAGTTTAATTATTAACAAGTTGTTCTTGCTCTGGATGTTGCTGGTCAGCTTCAAGGAAATCTTTCCACTAATTAACAGTGGGAATAATGATGCCAATTGACACATGTTGATAGTAACTGTAATTCTTTATATTCATGCAGTTCCTTTCTTCTTCAAAACTTTCCCATACTTAGACCATCTTTGGAAGAAAAATAGCTGCCGTAAAGAATAAGGCCCCACGATGTTCAGTGACTTGTGAGAGGTATGAAGACTCCAGGGCTGAGTTTACTGAGTGCTGAAGCCCCAGATCCTGTTTCCTAAGTATTGATCTATCCCTTGGGTCAGATGTTCTCTTGACAATTATATGATGATTGAGAAGTCCTACACCTGCGAGCTGTTTGTCTTTGAGTCTTTTTACATGGTGAGAAGCAGCTATTTAACGATTTTGAAGGAAGAGAGAAAAGGGATAAAGGAGGGAAATGAAACTCTTCCACCGTCTGTTGCATGGCTTGCATGGGCACCCCCATGATAATCCTTGTCTTTCTAAGAAAAAAATATCTCATTTCTCTCTGCCCAACCTCAGGCTTCTTTCTCCCCTCCCTTATGTCCATGCTCTTTTCTTCTGTTTGTCATTCATTTCTCTCCGTGATTCTTCTAATTGGCTTTTAGTCTTCTCTTCAAAATAGTATCTGCGAATACCTCCTAACCTGCTCTAATTGGATTCAGATACCTGCTTGCTGTGCTCACCTGAATGGCATCTTTGACAGAGCTGGTAGCTCTTAAAGGTTCCTTTACACATTTCCTTAAGGGTCAGACTGTTTGAAACCTGAACAAACCCATTCCTGAAAACTGTTCTACTTTTTTCCCTGCATGATGAAACTTCTTTACATCCAGAATTATAAAAACATATTGGAGAGGTGGGGCCTCTAGTGATTCATTTCCCCGACAGGGGCAAACCTAGCACAGAACTGGTTAATGCATAATTGTCATTCACATATGATTAAGTTCATTCGGTTAATTACAGCATTTCAAGACCAGTACAATAAACCTGCCTCACAATAATCACAGAATACTAAGCTATTTTGGCTTTTTATTCTGTTTATCTCAAGCATCTAACATGGCGCCTTGCCCATAGTTTTTTTTTTTAAAGATTTTAGTTATTTGACAGAGAGAGAGACAGCAAGAGAGGGAACACAAGCAGGGGAAGTGGGAGAGGGAGAAGCAGGCTTCCCGCCGAGCAGGGAGCCCGATGTGGGGCTGGATCCCAGGACCCTGGGATCATGACCTGAGCTGAAGGCAGACGCTTAACAGCTGAGCCACCCAGGCGCCCCCCATAGTTTTTTTTTTAAATAAACATTTAAAAAATATATCATGTTTAATTTAGCTGTGGTTAGGTAAGAGAACGTAAAAACACATTCCCAGATGGTCCCCAGGAAAGTGTGTGTAGTGTTTGTGATAATGAGGAGGAGGAGGATGATAAAACGAATGAAGCAAAATGTAGACGATGAGTCTGGGTAAAGGCTACATAGGAGTTCCTCACTCTTCCATCTTTTCTGATGTTTGAAATTACATCAAAATAAAAATTTACAAAAATAAGTAAAATACAAAATTAATAAAGGACAGGGCATAGGACAGGGCCGCTCTTGTGCATCTAAGTGTGGTTCTGCAAAAAACAAATTTTGAGAAATTTTCTCTCCTGATCCCAGCTGTGAATACCTCTATTCCCATTATAATTCAGTTCATTTGTAGATCTGATTTGTGTACCTATTTCACATGACCAACCTAAAGCGACAACACCTGGAAATGAAATTAATGAAATTTTTCTGTTCGATTCAATTCACGCGTGGTTTCGTGTTTGGTCTAAAAGGTGGTATTTTGGCAGATGAGAACATGTCATCAGGAAGCCGCTACATCATGACCCAAAACATAAGGAATGTCCAGGCTCCCCTCTTTCTTTGTGTTGTCAAAGCAGATCCCATACAGTGATGTAAATGCCTACAATAAGAGAGAGAGGTGAAGACAGATTTACCATTTTTATTACTTTAACATTTTAGAAGTGCAGGAACCATGCTCAGCAGTCAGCTGCTTTCCTATGACCCAGTATGAGACAAAGATATACTTAAGAATCTAAGGGTCTACTGACACAGGGAATTTTTAAAAAAGAAAAGAAAAATCTATATTCAAATGTGTGTGTTATCAAGTAAAGAGAAAGTAGCTAGTGGTCATGTAGGGTCTCTTCCTACAACCTGGCAAGTGGAGGTCATGCTATGTCACTTTTATTTTTTTTAATGTTTATTTTTTGGTCATCTCTGAGACCTTGCTTATGAATGGAATGTTTTGTCATTTTAAATTATCTCCTGATAGAAAGCAAAAAGAGGCCTTCTCCAGAGAACAGATTCTGAATCAACAGCTCATGAGGCCGTTGAATTTTTATAATCCTTTTTGCCTGGGTGCTCTCCTCGAAGCGTCTGCTTGGGCAAAGCGGCTGGTCCCCCTGCGGTCCGTCCTTTGTCACGGCTGTGGCTCAGGAGCATGACTGGTCGGCCAGAGAAAGGAGAACTGGCCCAGTCGGGTTCCACCTCTAGGAGGCAGTGAGGGGTGCGGGGTTTCAGATCACAGATAGGCCCAGTTCTAAGGCCACTGCTTGTTAACTTACTGACCTTTGGACAGTTGTCCTTTGGCAGGTCGTTCTGAGGCTCAGTTTCCCCCTCTGTGATACACCCTCTGTGGGCCGCTTGATATGGATTAAATGTCATAACACGAATCATGCCAGGCTGGGCACAGAGGAATAAGGTAGCTGTCAGAGTGCCAACAGATAAAACTGGAAGCCTTGCCTGGGATAACAAGGACTCTGTCCCTCACGTTCCTCCAGTTGGACCCTTCACGTTGTTGGTGGACACAGTCCTCTGTGTAGAGTGTGGAAAGGCTGGAATGAATATGTGGGAGTGGTAGGCTCGAGGTGTGGCCAGCACCTCTAGATGATGGGGAGGAGGGGGGGATTGTGTCATTTAGTGCTCATGATGATTTACCTTGATGAGGATAGTAATTGTACATTTTTTTTTTTTGCAAAAGGCTAATCAAGGATTACAGCTGTAAAAGTGATTCAGATCTTTGGTAGTCTGGATCTTTGTGCTAGTTTGGAAAATCCATGGTTTGTCTTAATTTGTGGTGTTTTCTCTTGTTTTATAATATAGGACATTTCATTTTTAGGTTCTATTTAATATCTGTATTCTTTGTAAGTTTCTGCAGAGCAGGTACCGTCATGTCTCCTTCCTCAGCCAGGTTTGGCAAGGGCCAAATACACATATTTCATGATTCAGGTTAAAATTGCATTGAGGCCTGTCTCTCCGCCCCCCCCCGCCCCCAGTGGTGGGGTTTTTGAGTTACTAATTAAATTCTTAAACTCTAGTTCTCTTCCTTTGACATGTGGGAGTTGCTTTTTCCAAAACAAAAGGGAAAGACTAGATCCAATTAATTTTCTGACTTTCATTAACACATCCTTTTTTACTAAGGAATGTGCCTGTTTAGAGAGCCTTTCTTAAGTCAGGATGGGAATGAATTGCACCTGTGTGAGATGACGACTTGTTTAAAAGGTCATAACCTCCCAGTGATAGTGGAGGAAATGAGGTCATCTTTACTTTTTGTTCAGGGTGAAGGAAGGTTAAATTTATTAGTTGGAATCATATCTACCTACCGTGTGGCATCACTCCTTCTTCCAGTAAAGATTGTAGGCATTGGGCATTTGGCCTTCCATTTGTTGATGTTACAATTTTAATTTCTTATGTCTTTTGATTTATAAAAGGAGAACCATACGTTTTAATCAGGTTGTGATAGGTAACACTTCCTGATACTTCTAAATACTTCCAGTATTTAGAGTTGTGTTTGACATCGTGGCTGAAAAAGGACAGTCTCAGGCTGAAGAGTGTTTAGGTTTCACTGCCTTTCCTACTTGTTTCAGCAAGCGAGAGAATTTTTTTAAGGCAGAACAACTTTTGGAAGTCTGTCTGATGAGTCCATCGTGTCGCGTGACTGCACTCTGGCTTTTAGCTGTGTGACCTTGGGCAAGTCACTTAACTTCCCAGAGACTTGTTTTCTTTAAATTGGGGTCAGGCTAATCATGTATATTTTCCTTTCTTTTTTTTTCGTGAAGGGAAAGGGGCAGGTATAAAAAGCTGCATTCTGAAAGCTGATTCTGAAAGTCTTGTATCTTTTTTTTCTTAATACCTTGAGCTGAGGGAGGATGTAAGAATCAGAAGACACTTAACAAGGAACTTCAGTGCCGATAACAAAGTTCCTGGGCTCTAGGGCAGGGACTCCACGTTGTGTTGACCCCTTTTACAGTCCTTCCGTCCGAGGAAGACTGTTCATCCAGAACTGGATGTACTTTGCCCAGTAGCTGGCTGCTAGCATGTCACACACATAGTGGGTACTGTGTAACTTTTCAGTGAATGCCCGCTAGTAATGCAGTTCCACACTATAATAGTCACCTAGCTGGGTTCTGTTTTCACCTCGTGCTCGGATTCAGTTGCTTTCTGTTGAAGGAACTCCTTAATGAACTGTCTGGCCGACTGTAGCCCATTGATGGTGAAGGCTTTGGATTGAATGTGCTATATAAGGATTTAACTGCTGTTTCCACTCAGTGAGTAAACGCAGTTTGCTGTCTCCTAGAACTTGATTAGAACCCCGAAACCCAAGCGGTTTGGCCCCGTGGCCCCAGTCGGCACACACAGCGGCGCCTCTTGGGAGAACGGACTAGAAACCCGGCCAGCGGGGTGGGGTTTCTGGAGCGAGCGAGGCAGGAGGAGGTGCAGGCCCTCACACTTCTCTCTTCGACTCCTGGGACTTCACGAGGATTTCATCTGTGGGGAAGTTAGGAAGTCAACGGAGCCGTTTTCTTGAGAACCTTTCTAATGAATAGTGCATTAGAGGCACTCTTTAAAGGCAACTGGACCAAGCTAGTTTGGGGAGCATTTTCTGAAATGCTGAGTCGTGAAGGGGGCTGTTTCCAAATTGTGGGGCCCTAGAGTTAAGTGTCAGCGGGCCTGGGGGTTGGTTGGGGGTGGTGACACCAGTAATTTGGTTACTATCTCTAGGCCCAGCTGTGTGTAAACAACATTCAATAAAAGTTCTTGGAGCGTAAGAATAGTGCCTTGGGGTTTTAATTTCTTTGTTTTTTTTTTCCCTATATTGTCCACAGCAGCCATTGTTTGATGTCCTGTGACTGAGAAACCGGCCTTTTCACTTTCTTACTATGCCTTTGGAGATGGAGCCCAAAATGAGCAAACTCGCCTTTGGGTGCCAGAGGAGCTCCACGTCAGATGATGACTCAGGCTGCGCGTTGGAAGAGTATGCCTGGGTGCCCCCAGGCCTCAGACCCGAGCAGGTGGGAACCTCATCGCCCTGTGTGTGTGTTTTTCCAGGGGATTTAAGATTTCTTAAGAATTGCTAAAAATAGGGGCTCCTGGGTGGCTCAATTGTTAAGCGTCTGCCTTCGGCTCAGGTCATGATCCCAGGGTCCTGGGATCGAGCCCCACTTTGGGCTCCCTGCTCAGCGGGAAGCCTGCTTCTCCCTCTCCCACTCCCCCTGCTTGTGTTCCCTCTCTCACTGTGTCTCTCTCTGTCAAATAAATAAAT